AATGTGGTTCATAAGCCCGGCACCCACCGGCACATGCCGCCGTGCGCGGCACAGCCATGCGTAAAGATAGGGAGGCAGGATCCAACTTCCATGCGTAAAAGCGCAGAGCGAAAGGCAGGTGTTTTCTTTACGAGTAATATCGTTTGTTCCTGTCGGAAAACGATTAGACGTTTACCCGAAAATAAATGTTCTATGGCCCGAAAGGATTCGTCTATGGAGTTCTGCCCTTTGTTGAGCTGAAGGTTGTCAGACTCTGAGCTGTTGCTTCTTTCTACAAGAGTCAGACAGAAACGAGAGAGAGGGAGAGAGAGAGAGACTGGCCTGGGTGAGTGAATCAGAGAGAGAGGGAGAGGAAGAGAGGGAGAGACAATCTCAGTACTCATTGCAGAGACACTTTATAGCGTCAAACTCAACATTTTGTGTGACCTTAAAAAGCGATTTATTGCCTTATAAGTCCATGCTGCAACCTGATAAATTATAAACATGTATTAATACATTATAGATAGATATAATGTATCTATAAAGTCCTATAGTCAAGGGGAACTGTACTTCTAATGTGCGTCAAACTAATGTGCGTCAAACTAATTTTTTAAATTAGTTTGACGCCCCCTGCTGTTTAGCATCAGCGAGGAGCCAATTTAAAATTGTGGACCTGCGTTCTAACCAAAGAAAACATTTATGATTCACTTTCATTTGTTTGCACTATGTTAACATTGACTGTAAACAAGATGTGTCAAACATACGGCCTGTGGGCCAAAACCGTCCCGCTGGGGGTTTAATCCGGCCTGTCTGCATAGGCGCTGGGCAAAATTTTACATTTTCCATCATGATTAATTAAGTTACTCTCTGTGATTAATCATATTAATCATGTGTCAAATTGAATTATGATTTCGCATTTCATCAAAAAACAACAGTGCGTTGTCATTAGTTTTGCAAATACTTGGAAAGTTGTATTTAAACAGCACCATTCTCTTTCCGCAGTACTTTAACTATTATCTGTAAATCACAAGTTAAACAGCAATGTTTTTGAAAGTCAGAGCTATTTGCAGTTATCTGCTGAAAAAAAGAAAAAAAAAAAGCTCAACCTTGCAGTGGCTGTAAAAGATGAACTTGAGAAGAGATTGATGGGAGTACTGATCACCATCCCACTCCTTCTGCAGCCCCTCCCTTTCTCCCCTCATTCACATCTACTGCATCAAAACTGCACTGAACTTTGTTTAAAACACTGTAAATTCTATGCACACATATCTTTAAAGAAATTGGGAATTGAAGTAAAATGTAATTAAATTAATTAAAAATAAGTTTCTCTTCTACTGTTTATAGTACTATAATATACAAATTCAAAATATGAAAAAAAACTCAATCACCCCTCAATCACTTGTGCAACTAGTGCCCCATACCGTGACTCAGGAAGGAGCCAAGTCACAAAAAATATTTACAAAAAAAATGTATTTACATACAGTTAATGCAATAATGACATCTTAGAAACAGAATACCTAATCAAAAAAGCAGAGGGGTGGATGGATGGATGGATGGATGGATGGATGAATAGATAGATAGATAGATAGACATTTTTTCACAGATTAAGTTTCGGCATCCTAAAAACATTTATCATATTTTTGTAGGATCTTTTTGCAACCTTATGCTTACAGACGAAACTGAAGGCGCTGCCGTAAGACAACAACTCAGTAGTTACGACACATTTTAACAGAGCGCAGATAACAGATCTTGAACTGAGCAAAATCCCTCAGTCAGTAATTATCGTTCATGCACGGCACACGAGAGATGATTAAGAGGCTTGACAGGCATTGACAGGCCTGTCAGGGGATTCTTACATACATACAATAAAAATTAATTAGAAATATTTGCAACGGTTCATCTACGGTAATCTATTTTGAAGCATCAGTTGTCTATACAGTCTATGTACATATATATATTTATATTTATATATATATATATATATATATTGCACACAGGCTAGTCAAGGATAAAAGTAGATCAGTGAAAGTCAATGTTAATGGTTAAACCAGGGTTGTCAAACATAAGGCCTGCTGGCCAAAATCGGCCCGCTAGGTGGTTCAATCCGGCCCGCTTGAAGAATTTTGAACTTGAAATAATGAACACTTCACGTTCATGATGGTTCATAAAATTATATTTCAATAAATATGGATATTTTCTAATATATTTGTACTTCATTGCATGGAAACAAAAGTGAAAAACATGAACTTATAAATGATTGTACTGGTCTTGCCCGCTTAGCATCTAATTAGTCTGTATGTGGCCCCTGACACTCGTGTGTTAAATGTTTGGCAAATCAGAGCGAAATGAATCAAACTTGTCATTATGAAGGAAACCCTAAATTTACCTGCAAGTTGTTGATTGTTGCTTGATAGAGTATATACATTTTTACTCCTTAGTGATCATGTGAAAATCTCTATATCAACAAATTCATTTTGATGACGCAGATTAAACAGCCTGTTGATAACACTGAATATTGGCACCTTGGGTTGGTACCCACTCACCTCATGTTGGTCTCTGTTGGGATATTTCCTCTGCGTATTCTCGTATCCTCTGTGTATTTTAGTGTCAATATACGCCTACTGGTGTAGTGTTTACCAAGTTTGGTTTTAGAGTTCAATTTAGTTAGTTACCATGTTAGTTGGTATTCGTCTGTTGTTATTGTCTGACAGCTGCATCAGTCATTCACTCTGGCAGGATTCACAGTAACTCATCAATGTATGATTACAGAAGTGAGCGTCCGACTAACTTTGTGAGTATTTTGTTAGCTCTGCTAAGCCAAATTAGCTATCGTCAGAAAACTGCACAAGCATTTACAAACTTTACAAAATATTCTTATGAGCGAACCCCTTTGATACAAATACTTAGTTGGTTTCTTTAAGTAGAAGCTAAGCTGTATTTGATGGATTTATGATGAACTAAATATAGTTTTGCTGCCTGGAATATTGGTCCCAATGGTTACCTTATGATGTTGTATAAATTTTAAGTAATACAGACCAGTTGAGATTTTCTAGTTCAAAGGAGTCGTGGTGAACAGCCAGTGTGCCTGTTCTGTTTGTCCTAGTTAAAAAATAAAAAATAAAAAAAACTCGAGATTTCTTGGGAGTTGGAAAACATGGTGACCTAACTATTGTGTTAGGCCAGTGATTGGAAGGGAGCAACAGGCAGTATGCTAACATGGAGATGCAGGTTTGGGTAACTAGCGACATAGGGAAAATAAATTAATAAAAAAAGTATATTATTTATATATATATTTATATTTACACATATATACACGTATATTATTTTATGCATAACTATATCAAAGTCGACCAATCAGCACTGAGCACTCGTCTTTGTTCAATCTCTGCTTCTCAACATCGGACATCTTTTCCTTTTGTCTCCTTTCCGCGTTTTCCACAAAGTCGGAGACAGAGCAGCACAGAAAGCCATTGTCATGGCAACTGTAACAAGATTAGAAGCCGGGATGACCATTGAGTGAGACACACCTGACAGCACGGCGGACTATACAAAGTATTGCATGACCTGACACTGCAGCTGCAGGATATTAGTCTGAGACTCATTGCAGACAGAATAAAAAAAAAAGTGATACAGCTGTGTTCGTGTCGAGGTCATGGCGACACTGTGCTTCAAAAGATATTCATGCCTTAGTAAATTACATTTTTTAAAGTTATTAAATGAAAATTAGAGGATGGTAATTTTGATTTCTCTTAATTGAGTTCTACGAAGTAATATTTCTTTTGGATATCTCTTTCCTTTTGTTGTACTTCTGCCTGAATGAATTAGGCTACGTGTGTCAAACTTGAGGCCCGTGAGCTGAATCCGGCCGCCACGTCATTTAATGTGGCCACCGGCTTTGGTCATTTCCTCCTGCCCTGCACTGAACTTTCTTGTACTTCACACCCAGCTGGCTAGCCACAAACCAATATGTCGTACTTAATGCCGTGCTTGTTTTTGTTTACTTAAGTGAATTTCTCCTGAGCTACTTGAGCTTGAATGTAGATAAAAGACCTGATTACCACGGTGACTAAGAGCCTGTGATGTAGTCTCCATCAGGTGTAAAGGCAAGGAGCTGTTTTCCTCGTCTGGAGCCTAACAACATTGAATTCATTACGTGTTTACTCACAAACCACACCAAATATTTTCTCTTTTCAGTCCATAAATGTTTATTTAACTACACTGTTTTTTTTCCTATTCTGTCTCTTCTTGTTTTGCTTCTACTTCTGTCTGTCCTAATGTGAGTCACATTATCCACAATAATAATAGTAATAATGATAATAATAACTGGCTGGATATAGCAAAAAATGTGCTAATGTCAGCTGAAAAACAAAGTTAAATATTAGCAATGAGGTTAGCATAAGCTAGTCCAGAAATAGCTCAAGCTTGAAACACAACAAAATAAACATAAAAAAATATTAACTAAAATGTTCGACGATTCCTATAGTAGCTTTTTGTTAGCTGTAACTTAGCTACACCCAACGATAGCTAGACATGGTCCCAAAAAAAATGGTTCAATTACAAACAGCTTAATATACGCACAATGTTAGCTACAAATATGCAAAACTACTAATACCTAGCCAGGAAAATAAAAAAAGTAATCTATTTTTTCTTTTTATATCACCAGAATTTGCAAAAGGAAAATAGAAAACAAACAAAGTTTAACTCTTTCAAAACTATTTACTGCTGATGAACAGTTGCCAGGGAACCAAAGGGGGAGGGAGAAGCTGTTACTGAAAATAAAATTTAAAAAAAACAATAACCTAAAAGTAGTCCATGACATGTACCCATAGTAAATTCTTAAAAGGGAAAGATGCTTATGTAAAATTTGTGCCGTGGCCTCAAAAAACATTTTGGTAACACTTGGTAAATGTGGGAAGGTAGAAAGAATTGGTGTGAACATATTGGGTATTAACAAGAGTCTCGTA